ATGAAGTAAATAATGTTTTTACTATTCTTAAAAATGCATAAAAAGTTTTCTGTTTGGGTTAGCCGACAGTCTTAATAATTAGCTGTATGTAAAAGCAAAATAAGGTGTCTTTACACAGCCAGGTTAAGACTGCTCTGTGCCTGTTTAAAATTCAGTGTAAAGATATGATGCAGCATAAAAGGCTAAATTTTGCCTGCTCTGACCCACCTTCGCCCCTAGTATCACAGTATACAATTGTAATTGCTGTGTAAATGCATTCATGCCACCGCTGATCAAACACTTAAATGCCACTTCAGAAGCACTTCAATGCCACCTTTGCAATGTAAATTTGGCATAAGACTAGCGCATGTCCCCCATTTAAGGCATCTTGACATCGCCAAGTTAGGGCTGCTCTGTTCCTGCTCAAAATTCAAGACCTGATGCTGCACAAGAGCCAGACAAAATTATGCCTGCTCTAACCCACTTCAGCCTTAGTATCGAAGTATACAGTTGTAATTGCTGTGTAAACGCATTCATGCCACCTCTGATCAGAATTAAACAGTTTGTGTAAAAACACTTGTCACTTTAGAAGCGCTTCTGAGCCACCTTCAAAGTGTAAATTTGGCATTAGAGAAATAAACATGAGTATATATACTATACAGTATGTTGATGCTTTGGCAGTATTGTTTGCAAAACATTAATGTCAATAAAGTACTTTGTAATTTGAGAGAGTGAAAGGGTGAGAGAGAAGCTACTAGTGAATTTGATACAGACTTAAAACTGTTGTCCTATGGATACTAACATTATGACAATTGCAGTTATTTGAGCATGCAGTTATTTCAAATTAGCCTAAGCAACATTAAATCACTCTTTTATTTTCAGACCTTACCTTATAGATTAGGGCTGCACGATTAATCGCATGCGATATTTAACGCGCATCTTGTCAGAAAGCCGGTTCTGTAATCAGCTGATTACAGAACCGGCTTTACTGATAAGATGCGCGTTAAATATCGCATGCGATTTATTGTGCAGCCCTATTATAGATCCTGATCGCTCTCTGGGACTCTTCTGCAGTTTCAGAAGTTTTATCTCTGAGACTAGGGAAATTATAGACTTAACACAGACTTAGACGTTTGTCTCGCTTTCTGACAAAATAAAACACACCTCAGAGGTGTAAGGTATATATTTTTACTTTGACTCACACGTTTGGAAACGGTTTGGCGAGCATTAAAGGTTCATGTTTACCAGTAGCTGTTAGAAAGCGCTACACGCTCGAGCTCACCTTTGAGAGACGCGATATTTACGAGGTAGGAAGTGTGATTACTTTAGACATACTTAATAAAACAAAAGCCTTTCTGACTCTAAATACGGCCATGTAAAGTATTTGAAAAACTATAGCAAGACTGGACATTTAAACACGAGAAACCGCTCAAAGTTTCTGTATGATACACAGGCTTTTCTGGGTGTGACGTCTTACATTTCTGACTCAAGTCCACGCTGATCTGCTCGGGCTTGGGCTCTGTCAGAAATCAGAACCGAACCGAACCGAACCAGCTGAACTGAACGAGCGGACAGTCCTGCACCAACATGTTGTCTCGAATAAATATTTCGGATTAAACGAAACACGTTTCAGAGCTTTATCGCGATATCTTACAAGAACAATCCAAGAGTGGACATATTTGTTGTTTTTAAAGCCAAAATACGTCATTTGGCAATTTCCTTCTTCAGCCCACAAATCTGGAGTCCAAACGGGACATTTCTACAGCACAGAGAAGCGTCAGAAAGTTACCTGCTTGAGGTGCTCTCAATGTCTCTGCGATGCTAGAGGTGCTTAAAGTTCCCGTGACGAGAGAAAACTTTCCATGTTAAGGCGATCATGGTTGCAGGTGTCGGTAAACTTCCGGATTATGTTTTTTTTTTTTCCTCCGGGTCCCTTCGGGAGGGCAACCGCTGCGTCACTGCGCTGACCACAAGTTCAAGATCTAATGTGAACATAGACGCGAACGTAGCAAATGTTATTATGTTTCACTTCTTATTGATCGTGTGATTACAACACACGTTTTACAAATTTCAGAATGTGCATGTGATTGTCAGCCCACATATGGACACTTCCGAGTTTACACGAGCCTTGATTTCTAGGCGTGATTCGTGTTGTGCGCGCAATCTCAGGTGCATGTGCCCGCCGGTTTAGGGCGCTGCCTCCCCTGATTCAAGAAGCACACCCGAGTCCAGAAAAACTGCATACAAACTGGTCTCGCAGGCTGGTTTTAAATGGTTTTTGGGCACCTTTCAGCTAGTCAGGCTGAGAGACCAGCTGGCCGCCCGGCTAAACATCAGCTAAGTTTGGCCAGGCTGGGATACCAGCTCGACCAGTTTAAACCTACTACGTTCAGAAAACAGGCAGATGAACCTCAGAGTTATCATAGTGGTATAGCCAAATGACTCCAAATGGGAATTCATGGAGCTTTTGCTCATGATGAGGGGGAGTTATTTACAAGTTGGACAACTGAAATGAAGTTCCAAACGTAGGTTTGGGAGGAGCCTAATCATTCAGTCCTGTCAATCATCATTACGAGCCTATATAAGCAGCAGACATTGCGCTGTCCCAGCAACAATTCTTCCGGCATCCCTCCACCTCCCCATCTCCTCCTCTATTTCTGTTAATCTCCTTCTATGTAGTATCGCAATGGGGGTTGAACTTGGAGCTCAAGCTGAGCCTCAGGTTCGACTAGAGACTCAACGACAGCAAGCAAAGTTTGTTTACCATTAACCATCAGGACTGGATAGGCAGGCGAACTCATGAAACAAAATTTTAAGGAAGTTGAGCTGCTTTGTTTGCACTATTCACGGCATGTTTTTTTTTTGGATTTCTTTTGTACCCTAGAGATTTTAAGAAATTAAAGATAAACATTTAGCAACAATTTCTGGTCTTGCAACAAGACAAGCAGTTTAGATTTTAAAAATCTACAATGACGTTATCGAGGGTTTTATTCAAATGTATTAGTGTAACTCAATTTGACAACGTGTTTAAAACCACTTAAATGAGGCACCTCATGTGGCTGAGATCAGGCATTAAGTTGATTTGGGATGTGTCACAGCTACAGTGTGAAATCTTACTAGTTCTGACAAATGTGTGTGGGAGGCCACCATATCAGTCACAGTTTGTTTCTAGATTGTTAAGTGTGTCTCCCAATGAGAAACCATTAGGTAATTTGACAAAGATACATGAGGGGTGGGCGGGTGTGCAGAAACTAATGAGGGCTGACTTAACCTTCTGATTGCCAAATATTTCTCTATACCCCCACCCCTCTGTGACATCAGAGAGATCAGTGGATTTCTTGAAAGGTATATAGCCTTAATAAATCATCCGGTGTTGCCCACCTCTGTGATATTTCAAAGCGAGTACAAGAAAATTAAATAGTGTCACACGTATTAAAATCCCAATGGATTATTAAAGAAAAACATTTGAAATATTTGGTTGGGTTTTAGGCATGCACTGTGATTATAGACAGGTATGTCTCTTATATTGTGGATCACACACTCTCAGATAAAAAGGTTGGTACCTTTAGACATTGGGGTGGTACACACAAAATATGAATATTAAATATAATAATAATAAATAGTATCTGTTTATTATATAAAAAGTATATAAAGTTAAAAAGAATATTTAATAAACGAATAGACGATAGAAAACAACTGGTTTATCAACAGGAAAAAACACTGCAGCAGTACTAAATTTAATATTAAATATTTTTAATATTATTAATGCAATGCAATGTCTTCGTTTATTTTAAGTACTCTTAATTTCTCTTCTTGCTTTCACTGGGGGGACTGGTTTTCAGAATGGTCAGTCATACAGCGTTGCAAAATATATTTGCCTGCTGAATGCAGCAACTGAAAAATCAGAATCAATAATTAGACTGCGCTGTTTCCTTTCAAGAATGAGAGACAGCAGAAGTTCCCCATGTCAAAGGTCAAAAGTTATTTTAAACTGACACTGACATGAACCCTAACCCTAACTGCATATCATAAACAGTATGACAAAACTGTCTTGACAGTCTTCACACATCTCTCACGCATCTCTTCTCTGATTTTCACATCCCTCTCCCTTTGATCTTTCGTTGTGTAATGTAGTCTAGCGTTAATCTAATATAATCTAGTAATCTATCACTTAATCTTGTGTTTCATGATTCATATTACAGCATATAAACCATTCTTTAGTGTTATACCTCTGTATGCAAGTGTAACAATCTGTGCTTGTTTATCTTGTTGTTGTCCTTGCACTGAGACTGTTAAGAGACACTATACTTGTTCAGAATGCTACATTTCCAGCATTAATGTCAAACGCATGAGCATTAATGTTTCTGTGTGTTTACATACAGTATGTGCATTTGGCTGTGGTGACAAGCAGGCATCTCTGTTATGTAACCTGTAACGTTGGCTGATTGAGAGAGTTAACATGCCAACATGGCAATAAGAGAACTTTTAATTTATGGAAAGCCTAGACAGGTTTATGAGGGTTCCCCCTTAAGTATCAAAAAGTAGGATATATAGTTAACTATCCAAGAACAGTTATGAAACCCTCTAACCACAGGTCAACCACATTATGACATCCTCTATTAAATGTTCACATATGAACCTGATAGTAGAGTGCGTGTTGTACAATGACTTTCAGAAGAATTTGGAAGACTTTTAAAAAGGAGTGTAGCCTATATCCTGTCATAGTTTTCAGTGAGAAGCCGATAATTAAAAGATCTCGTTCGAACGCGACTGTCAGTGTCTATTTAGCGCTCTAACAACCTTGTAACTTTTGTGGCAAGACTGCCAACTAAAACGTTTACAACGTTTTATATTTCATTTGTGTTTAAACTTTATGGAATTTATGGGATCAGGCCCAGTATGTTAAAGAGAGAGAGAGAGAGAGGAATCGCCGAAGCGCTGTCCAATCAAGCGAGAGTCTTATCTGTCGAATAACGGGCGTAGTGGCGTCACAGCTTTTGGGAGGAACCACGTGTTCTGCAAAAAAATAGCCGGTCACGGTTTCCCTCATGAGGCAGCGCTCGCTCAACCAGAACTGACCGGTAAGATAGCAGACTATCGACGGACTCACAAGTCACAGCTGTCAACCGGGGCTGTCCTTCTCGTCGAAAACATGGTGAAAAAGGCTAAAAGTCCCGTCACTTACGCAAAAATGAAGGGAATAGTTTCATATTTTACAGGTAAGCTCAACTACTTAGGCTATTATTCAAACTTTAAGTATAGCCATCTTGATATTCTGGGTCAGATATAGCCTACCACAGAACGTATTTGCCTAAAAAAAAAATATATATATATTTGAATATATACTTTAACAACGTTTAACCAAGTTTCTATGTAAAATCTGTAATATATATATTAAATCTGTAATATATATATAGATAGATAGATAGATAATATTTGGAAATTTTATTATTTTTTTTAAATGTAAAGATGTAAAAGTAAGATTAAATATGTGTATTTGAACACTCTTATAAAGGTTGTTCTGTGTCCACTATATGCAGATATTTCACTAATCATAAATGATTTTATATTTTATTTTCTCAGCTTTAATTAAGGACAAGAAGCTTCGATCCGGCAGCCACCCTATCTATCGACAGTGAGTTTCATCCTAGTCATCATTTTCCATTGCGTGAGCTAAAAGTGAAGCAGCACATGGCTCTGTATGTATTCCAGTGCAGAGTTCAGAAGATTGACTCATTATTTCATTATTTCTGCAAAGATCAGCTGAAAAATCAGGAATGACTTAAGTCCTTTGCACTGCGATGTCATTACAGATTGACCACCAGTGTACTTTTATGACCATGACCTACTTATAGTAACATTCCAAAGTGAAACCAGTAGCCAAGTGCTGTTACATAGGTGTTGGATGAGTTTGAGGCAGTTTTAGGTGAAAATAGTTTCTCTGATATGGTTTCTCTCATTTCAGGATGGATTTCTTGCGACCTGAGGGTAGTCTTTCTGAAGATGATGGAGCAGCAGCTGTAAGTGAGCTTTTACAAGTTCACTTGTGTGTTCTGGGTCTAATAAAGGTCTCCAGTCCTTTCAGAAACATAAGGCCAAGTCAGCTGCGCTGATTTGAGTTGCTGTACTGGTTGACCTGCAGTAATCTATAGATGTAACAGGAAGTTCATTTATTTATTTGGATCCCCATTAGTGGCTATTCTTCCTGGGGTCCAAGTAAAAAATAAATACATTAAAAAATTAAAAACTGCATTAATCCACAACAATAAAAGTGAAGTGAAGTGAACTGTGCTGTGGTTTCATATGTCACTGGAATAAGCTGCTGACTGGCTCTCCCTCTCCCTGATCTCTCTCCCAGGTTTACAGTAATCCACAACCAGAGTAGCCACAGTCTCGGTAAGCGGGGTGCTCAGCTGATCTGCTGAAGAGACTGCTAAACAGGGACAGGGCCAAGAGACTAGGAGCAAAACATGACCTGGTAACCCAACAAGCACACACACACACACACAAACATTCACGAACAATCTGAAAATCATTTGTCTTGTGAGTGGCTAAATGTCATTTGCCCTTTTTAGGCTTTTAGACCGAGCTGCAGTCTCATCCTTTCTTCTTGTCTATTCATTGGGATGAACTTGTTGCAAAGAAAATTACTCCTCCTTACGTTCCCTTATTGGTGAGTTTTTTTATTGTTGTTAAAGGGATTGTTCACCTAACATTGAACATTTTTACTCAAACCAGTATGACTTTTTCTTCTGTGAAACACAAAAGAAGATATTTTGAAAAATGTCTCAGGTTTTTGTCCATTCGATATAAGTCAATGGTGTCCAAATTGTTGATTTTCACTGCATGGACAAAGACATTATTCAAAATATCTTCTTTTGTGTTCCATGTGTGACCCTGGAGCACAAAACCAGTCTTAAGTCGCTGGGGTATATTTATAGCAAAAGCCAAAAAAACATTGTATGGGTCAAAATTATTGATTTTTCTTTATGCCAAAAATGTTCCATGAAGATATTTTGTAAATTTCCTACTGTAAATATATCAAAACTTAATTTTTGATTAGTAATATGCATTTCTAAGAACTTAATTTGGACAAATTTAAAGGGGATTTTCTCAGTATTTAGATTTTTTTGCACCCTCAGATTCCAGATTTTCAAATAGTTGTATCTCGACCAAATATTGTCCTATCCTAACAAACCATACATCAACGGAAAGCTTATTTATTCAGCAAATTGACCATTATGATTGGTTTTGTGGTCCAGGGTCACATATAAGAAACAAATGCATACAGATTTGGAACGACACGAGGTTGAGTAAATGATGTGCTTACACAGGAGATAATTTCATATAGATAACGTATATAATTTCTATTTGTTTACATGTCTGTATTTCAGTCTGGCCCTGGTGACCTCACAAACATTGACCCTCGGTTTACAGAACTTCCTGTTCCGCAGTCGCTAGGAGCATGTGAGGAGTACGGAGCAACCTTTCCAGGCTTCACCTACATCAATGAAAACATTCTCTCACTGACTCGTGGACATTAAGACAGAATTCTGTCAGACCAATAGACATTTTGTCTGAACATGTTTTAAGGATGTTTAACTTAAGCAAACACTGAAGCACAGTTCATTTTTATGTTAGCCGGACCAATGCTTTTGCACATGACTACAAATTTTCTATCAAATGTGACTGTTTTCCTAACATTCATGTTATTTAATTCCTTTTTTAGCCCTATTTGATCAAAAAAATATTTGTACTGAAATACAATGATTAGTGGTATTCTGACAATAACTGAGACGACATGAAGTGAGACTACAGGTTGCATCAGATGTTTGATTGTAAAAGTTGTGAGATGGAATGAATATTAAATCTCAATGTAATTACAATTGTGTGTATAAAACGTGTTTTTGATTAAATTGTTTGATCAGTAAAATAATGTCCAATTTTCTGAGTGGAAACAATTAAATTATTTTAAGCAAATCGTGGAGTATGTTTTATTATGCAAGGTCCATGTCTTGGTTAACATGTTTTAATCCAATTATCAAAAAAATGTTGTGTACAAGCGCTGTACTGCAAATATAGACCTGAATCACAAAGTAGCACACAGTTGTCATCCACAGACATTGAAGTTTATCACCTGCGACTGCTTCGCGGTGTTTTAATGCCGTTTTTATCATGTTTTATAATGCCACGCTGCCTGAATTTGGCTCAAACCTACTTTGCAGACAACGTACTAACAACTAAAAAGAAACAGCCACTTTTTAAGCTCACAGCGCCACCTTGTGGTGTCTTCGCTGTCAACCTTTTAAACACTTGCCACAATGCGGCTGTCAAAACATTGTATTTAAACATGAACTTCAGTTTAAAGCTTGACGCGGTGTTATTTTATTAGTAAGCTCTGCCCTTCTCTATTTATTGCATATGACGAAAGTATGCCCTTCAAAAGAGATTTGCGGAGAAAATCTGAACACGTGATTGTTACAGGAAATCAAATCAGAGAAGATCACCACTACAATGACTGTAAACTGAAAAGATATTAAAATCCTAGTCTGAAAACGGCACGTTTCAGTGTGCACGGACTTTAAAGACTGCATTAAAACTGAACCACTGGCTGGCCCCGTTCGAGCACCACAGAGCTCTCTGCTTCTGTTTGAAGTGCGTGGAAAACGTAAAGAGAATCAAAACCATTTTCCTTATCTGTAATATCAAGGCCTTTAATTGTTTTAGAGCAACAAGCACCGACAAAACGAGTATCGCGCACAAGTCACTTCTAGGGTCATGTAAGGACACACTAGGACTAAGTTCCTCTGGTTCTTTGTTACATTAAGAGCATCTGTCACACATATATGTTGCGATGAAGTTTATCTGGGCTGCAGAAGTTGGACAGACACATATTAACCCGCGCATGCGCAATAATGCTACCATCCAGCTCTAAATAAGAGTTAAGAGAGAAACGAGGTGAGTTGCACGTTTATCAGTAAATATGACGTTAATGTCGTCACCCACGCAGTAAACAACGATACGAACACAGAGTGCGTTTCTTGTTTAACACTTTTCAGCCATTGCGGCTATTTTCAACGAGGTTTAAAAACCGTAAAGATAAATAGAAGTGACAAGTTTGTGCAGAAGAAATTAAAAGCATGCAATTTGTTATTTCCTCGGGTCTGCGTGCACCCGAGTTGTTATTTATAGACGGATGAATGGCAACTCATTCAAAGTGCCTCTGGGAATGCTTTTCTTTTGGAGAAGCACGTTAAACCGTTGGTTTGGTTTATTGTAGGATGCCCTGCTAATGTTACAGCTAGCCGGGGCTATCAGCCGGGCTAACGACATTCCGTGACAAGGGGAAAGTAAGGAGTTTGTTGACGAAGGGGAAAACATTGCGTTTTAATAAAACAAGTTGCACACTTGGCCTTCCCGTGTTGGTTGAAGGTCCGAGCGACGTGAACCAGACCAGAGAACTGTTATAATTTACATACTTTAAACGTGTCGGCCGCCCTTTGCTATGCTCCGCCATTTTGTGTGTCAGTCGAATGCTAATAATGGGCGCTCGCTCAGCCGCTCACGCATTGCACTTTATTTATGCTAAGAATAAATTCCGTCATCACTTGAAATATCAAAACAAACGTTTTTTAGTAAACCAGACGAGCTTTTAGGTGGTTTGCGGGGCGCCGTTACTGTATAGTCTTGGATTTTGATGACATTTTGATTTATGATAAATGGCAGGTCAAGAACGTTATTACACTATTGCCTGCTGTATACGGATGACAACGTGCTTAAATAAAGATTTAATTCTTTGAAAACAAACTGATCGTGGATATTTGCGCTTTAACTTGTCACCGCAAGTATCCGCGCGCCTTTAAAGCAAAGATTTCACGAGATTCTTTTAAAACAAGGAAAAGCTGAACTTGTTCGTCTAACTTTACTCTTAATCGCTTTCCTCCATTAATAACCACCAAAGTAGCTTAAGTGTCTCAGTGAGAGTCTGTATACATAGCTAGCCCATAAAAATGGGCATCATAAGTGTGTAGAAATACATATTTTGGTCCTCGTTTAAGTGCGTGGTGCAATCCTTACTGCGAGAAGCAATCGCCCTCTGGCGGGATTCGGTGGAACGGCAAGCGCCGCGCAGCTATTTCATAAACCCGCGTTGCGGGCGTTGTATCAACCGCAGTCAAAACACGGTTTTCGAGGCGAAATCGTCATATTTTAATAATGAAAACGTCAGTTTTGTTTAAGTGTCTCAGTGAGAGTCTGTATACATAGCTAGCCCATAAAAATGGGCATCATAAGTGTGTAGAAATACATATTTTGGTCCTCGTTTAAGTGCGTGGTGCAATCCTTACTGCGAGAAGCAATCGCCCTCTGGCGGGATTCGGTGGAACGGCAAGCGCCGCGCAGCTATTTCATAAACCAGCGTTGCGGGCGTTGTATCAACCGCAGTCAAAACACGGTTTTCGAGGCGAAATCGTCATATTTGAATAATGAAAACGTCAGTTTTGTTTTGTTTACTAAAACAACGTGTGCTGATCTGCCTAATTAAAAACGTATTTTTTTGCCTACCCTCTTTCCAGAGGCAAGTGATTATGATTAGGCCTATGAAGATCACTGACATCAGACAAAGTACAGTGATTAGATTTTAACAGCTCAAGAATTTTTATTTTATTTCATTTTTTTTTTTATGAGAAAGCTATGGAGATTAAGCATTTGTATCTTAGTCTCACATTATATTGCGTCTGAAGTTTTCTATGCCACTCACAGTATATTTTTTGGTCTCAATATGCACTTCGTGTATTCATGACAGCAGTGGTTCTCAACCAGATGGGCTTCAACAAAGTCGTCACGACTTAAAATAATTTAAAACAAGACAATACAAGCATTAAAATAAACTGAAACAGCTAAAAAAAAATGTAATCATATTTCTATGATATTTCATGTTTTAAATCACCTCCTCAACAACTGTTTTTTTTTTTTTTTGGAAGAACCATGATTCCCACAGTCACAAACTGAAATGAATGCCTTTGACATTTTTATAATTGTTGTTATACATTTTAGTAGTTATACCAAGCTCTAAAATATCAAGTAAAACATATTCGTAGTTTGGTCAAATTTAAGATGCTTACTTCAGTCACCTGTCCATGTTGTAACAGTATATTTTTCTCTTTTGACCTCCATTTCATAAGTAAAGATGGCAGAGACATCTACGACTGATGGTTCTGCCGCAGGAGCCGATTTTGACATGATGAGCGCTCTTGATTGGAAGGACGGCATAGCCACCTTGCCAGGAAGTGACATTCGGGTACAAATATTTAGTGTATATGATGCATAAAGAGTGATGTGAAGGACATATTTGTTTATTCGGAATGTACTGATGAAAAATCCCAATATCTGGTCTGTTTTTAGTTTCGGATGACTGAATTTGGCACCCTGGAGATTGTCACAGAGGTGGAGCCCAAAGTTAAAGAGGCGGAGCTTACAGGCCCTCAGCCTCAAACGACAGGCACCAACAACAGTCATTCCCCTGAGCAGAACAAAATTTCAAATCAGACTGCAAAGCCCCAATCAAATACAGAGCATCAGACAAGTACTGTGGGTGAGTACCAGTAACTCGCACATATTCCTACCAAATAGAGAAATTATTTGCTCTTTATTTGTTTTTGAGAAATCTATTTCTCTTGCTTTTTTCAGTTTCAACTGACCCCCACAGGCAGGCAGGGATCAATATCACCAGGAGCCCCAGCGCTGTGGAAAGCCCCAGTGTGAGTACAGTGCCCAATGCATTTGTTCCCATGACTGAGGCGACTGCAAACTGCAGGTCATGTGGTCACTCTGGTTCACGTGAATCCTTTCTACAAGGCAAATTTTGCAGCGCTCCTTGTGTACAGCCTACCAGTGGCAGGTACATGTTTTTGACATTCACTGAGCTCGACCAGTTGCACTGTCTGTGGTGTATTAAGTCTTTGTGTGTATATGTGCAGGTTAACACCAGCTGAGGCTGTCGAAGGAGAACGTTTAGGTAAACGTGTGAGAAAGAAGAAGAAGATGTTTATGGAATCTGGAGATGAGGAGGAGGACAACATAGAAGAGGAAGAGGTAATGCACACACACACACACCTACCTCACACAAAAGAGAGCAATTCAATATTAACTAAAGTGTACTGAAGTGGAATGTGTCGATAGCTCAATGTTGTTATTTTTTTCAGGAGAAGGTTAAATCCTCAAAGGGGAGACGAGCAGCTAAAGTTGCTAGACTAGGTTGGTAATTTTATTTTATTTTACACACACACACACACACACACAGACACACACACACACACACACACATACACACACACACACACGCACGCTTAATGATATTTTCTATTGCCTAACCCAGCCCCTACCCCTAAACTTACCCCTCACAGAAACATGTGCAGAACACTAGATTTAAATAAAAGCATGTTCTGTCCGATTTACAAATCTTTTTAACTAGTGTGGACCAGTAATGTCCTCACTAGTGGGTTGTCATATTATTTCACTATATAAATGAGGACATTTGGCCCTCACAAGTATAGTTAAACAAGTACGCACACAAAATGGTTATCAGCCAATATTAGGGATTCCGAATAAAGAGGTTAGATTTTTTATATTTATTTAAACATGTTGGATATTTATCAATTTAATCTTTAAAAACATTAACTTTTTAAAAACGCAGTTAAACGTAATCTTTAGAAATCTCAAAATGAAGATCCGTACTGTACATTATAATGTTATATTATCTTAATTCAGCTGTAGCATTTAAACAACTGATTTTACTCTTTTTATTTCACTTAGACAAAATATTAAAGAAGTGTAACATTGGCCATTTATCAGCCATAATATGAAAATAATAATTGGCTTATCAGTGTTGGCCAATTACATTTATATTTTTATATTTCTGCATCTCAACTTAGATGGATCGA